TCCCTACATGATAGGAAGACTCTGTGAAGTTCAAACAGGCACTTGACAAAGTTGGATACCAGTCAGTTTAAAGATAAATTGATCCTCACTTTCTCACACAGTGGAATCATTTATTTTCACATGGCTCGTAACACAAATTATTTATAGCTATGGAAAGAAAAATAGTGGGTGTATAGACTTGGTGCAATTTCTATGAACCAGTTAGACGTGATATGATTGGATACTGCTCTCCTCCAAGTGAAATGCAGCAATGCACTGCTCTCCATAGAGTGAAATAATTTTTACATGACTTGTCAGTCTCACTATGGCTGTGGAAAGAAATACAGTGAGAGCAGAGACATTTGCACTATTTGTGTTATTTAGAATGTTTTTGCAGCTAACAGTTTTGACCTCTATTATGTTTTGATGGTCCTGGTTTCAAAAGGCCAGATCATGTTTTCCATCTAGAAGAAATTAATAAATACTTTCTTTTCCTGTATGCTCTCCCAGGTTTTACTCAGATCCTGGTTCAGAATTATTCCAAAGAATTACTCATGTAAAACTGATATGCTGCATTGTCAGTGGAATTCCAATGATTAACAACTTCAGATGTACCCTCCGAGGCCAGGAGGGTTTCATTTTTGTCCCTTATGATCTTCAGAGACCCTGAAAAGAAAGTTAATGACACTGGAATTTGGAATTTAATGTGTGAAATCCAGGAGCAATCATTTTAAACATCAATCCTTACTTCAGAATGGTGTCTGACAGGCTGCAAGTAATTTCTGCTTCAAGCAGTCTCAGGCAGCAGAGTAGCCCAAAGGTCATGTTGTTCTTATCATGGGTAGAAGAGATTGTCTTCATGATGGATGACTGCTTTGTGTGTTTATGATGCATAATATATTAGTAATTTTAATTCACAATTCCATTTGTCTAACAGTTTTGTCAGGGCAAGCTAAACTATAGTTAGGTACACCTGTACTGTGCAAAAGGATGGAACTGTTGTGGTAATCCATCATAAGACCTGCAACATAGTCCCAGCTGCACATACTGGAGCTGGGAGGAGTCACTTCTACAAATGGAAATGCCAGCCTGCAGGAAATGGGCCAAGAACTCTTGTATTTTCACTACTGATCTTGACCTGTGCTGATGATCACAGCTGAAGCCAAATGTATTGCTACCTCCAGTCTCATTATATAGAGCAACCCTCAGTGTGTTGTTCTGCATTTATGAGATTGGGAGCCTAGGGTTATCTGTTCTTGGGTAGCCTTATCGCCAGAAATGGAGGACCACGGACAACAAGCACAACTCCTGGTTTCAGATGACTGAGAACGTTGTTACCCAAAACATAAAGATTTGAGCTGGCTTTGTGCAAAGCACTCAGGGTTGTAATAACCACCACAGCTGCTACCTTCCATTTTACCCCCATGCTTTTAATGGGACTGAATGCAAAAGCCACTCCTCTGCAGAACCAGACACAAAAGTAATAAGCAGTAGTATTAGTTTAGAGGGTCTCAGAGCACATTTGCTTTCTCTTTGCCACAAATGCAAACCTTTGTAACAATATACATTGTTCTTGTTTATTTAATTACTACATCCTCCTGAGCATGTTTCTGTGAATGTCAGTGCAGAAAAGTGCTGTTTAGAGGAGAGCTGAATTTGCCTCTCAGCCAGCTATTAGATTTGCATTTTGCAAGATCTCCTTTTTAAATGGCTGGCTGTTACCTCGGAGTTTCAAAGCTCTTAGAGCCAGAGGCTTTTCCATAGGAAACATCACTCTTCCACTCAATTTCCTGAGAGATCTTGTTTTCCCTTTCAGAAGTGGGCAGCCAAGGTTCTGTGTTATATTACTTCTTCACTGTGTGCATCCCTAAAAAGAGCTGGATTTTGGCACTGGCTTTTACTGGAAAAAAAAAACGTGCTTTGTTTCTTTCTCAAATAAATGTGGATCCATGGTTTTAGAAGTGGAGGAGGACAGAATGTTGTCCTGTACTTCAGATGAGGTTCTATGACCTATTATATACTTACTGCACAAGATTTTATGGGTTGCAAAAGGGACCGGTCATTCCAGTTCTTCAGCATCTCTGGAAGAAGTTATAAGGTGGAGGAAGTAGAATCATCAAGCTAAAATTCAGAACAGAGGTTTTATCAAGTTCATCAGTGCACTTTATAATCATTATTTAAAGTAAGTGGCATTGATCTCATCCTTCATACATATATATGGCTTTCAAGTAAATGTAATTGGTGCTCTGCCTTCAGAACAACTGAAGAAGCAACATTTCCTATGCACTTGCAGTTGCCCTTCTATTAAACCAAATAAAAAAATTTAGACACATGAAAATGAGTATTCAGTGACATTGTGTTCATAATGGAAAAATTAGCGTATAATGCTAATTCTAAACAAATGTATCCCTACATTTATTTATTGAGGGATACTGGAAGTATTTTTTCCAAAATTCAAAGATGTTTTACTTTGTGTTTGTTCTTATTTAAATTTTTCATGTGTTCGTGGGTATTGATAGTTCCTATATAAGGGAATAGAGTCACATCTTATACAGGCTAAAGTATTCTGTCAGGCAGGTACTACCTCTACAAAGAAGCTTCCCTGAATTTTCTTTAACATCAAAGTGCCTCAGTTTGGGTCGTCTAGTGGTTCCAGTTCTGAAATACTTCTGTCTCTGGAACGACTCAACCCATAGCTCTTTTGTAAGCCTTGCGAGAAAGGCTTATAAAAGGAAAGAGATGCATCCAACCAACCTGATTCTGAACAGGGACAGCAGCCTTCTTGGGGATCTGAGCGAACTTCTATACTCCTGGCCTGAACTACTGAATTACTGTTGTGAACTGAATTTTTGCCCATTCATTCTTTGCAGACATTGATGAGTGCTTGGTAAACAACGGTGGCTGTGACCATTTCTGCCGAAACACGGTTGGCAGCTTTGAGTGCAGCTGCCAGAAAGGCTATAAACTGCTCACAGATGAACGGACCTGCCAAGGTAATCCCTCATTTATTTTATTCTTTGTCTAATGAGGATGTTATTTTCAGTGGATTTTTGGGGGAAGGGGCAATTAAGTAATTTGTACGACAGGTTTTAATCATACTGTTATAGGAAGCAAAGCTAGAAAAGACCTACGAGATTTCCATTCGCTGAGATGGAGTTAGAAGATTTTTTGAGATATCTTCTTTCAATGCTTTTAATAGCAGGAATACCAGTGTCCTGCACGGAAATCCATGTGGTGTAGTAGAAGAGCCTCAGGCAAAGAGCCTTATGTTCAAGTCTTCTAATTTGCTATGATCTTAATGTGGCAGAGGCTTATCTTACTTACACCAGAGTCATTTAGAGTAACGTACTAGAATGGAGTATTTGCAACATTTAAACTGACAGAAGAGTGTAATTTGTGCATTCACCTTTACCTGACAGAATCTGTTTGTGGAGGGATAATGGAGGTGTTTTGTGAGAATTCAAAGGAAGTGTGTTTTATAGCGATTCCTATGTGTGTCATGATTTGCTAAGTTATCCGATATTATGTATTCTATGACTAATTAAGCACATAACAATTTCCAACTTAAGTACTAGCCGTGTACCTTTGGAGAAATGACAATTTTAAGTGTTTGAGCTCTCTAACTTTACTCTTTAAAAGCCTCCTAGAAGGTCTAGAAAGGTAAGCATGCATCAGTAGAGAGAGGAGGAGAGGAGAGATATGGTTAATTAAATTTTTGTGCAGGAATTGCCTTTTTACTAGTATGTAATTATTTGCCTGGGTTTTGAAGATGTAAAATTTATGAAGTCCAAAACAGCATTACTCTTTTAGCCTCTTTGTTCATCTGCAAAAGAGAAAACAAGGTCTGAAGATACACACATGTCGTTCAAAAATTTTTCCATTGCATCTCATTGGTACTTCCATCATCTGAGAAGTCTACTCCACCCTGACTGTGTGATTAAGCAGAAGGGAGTCACTGGAAAGTTGTTGTCACGCTGCGGCAGGATAGGAAGAGCTGGGTGGCACAGTTAGGGCCACATGACTAGGCAGAAATAATATTGTAGGCTCATGTCAGACAAGGGTAAATTGTCAGGTCTCCATTTACCTGCTAAAAATAGGGAGAAAACATTAAAAAGAAAAGTTACCTTCATGATGTATTTAGAGACAGTTAGGAATACTTTCTGGTTGATGAATTTCATGTGTTGTGACGTGCTCTCTCTGTGGTATCAGTCAAAGGTTTCATCACTGAAGCAATTGTAATTACACCAGTGAAAAAGTCAAAAGAAAAGGCAAGCCCAGCATTCCTCTTGGGCAAGAGCTGGTGCAAAATTTATTTGTTCATTGTGCAAAGTCTTAGTAATAGGGTTTGAAAGCTGGCTATAAATTATCAGATGTCTATCATGATAATAGGAAACTAGAAGCAGCTCTGTAAATGTTGTTCCACTGAGTTTTGTTTCTTCATGTGCTTGGTCTGCTGAGTGAGTTGTCAATAACGGTCCATACCATGCAAGGAATGCAGTAGTAACTGATTTTCTCCTCTCCCTCGTGGAAATATAATATGGAAATATAAACATGATCTGGCCATCCTACTTTCTCCATTGTCAGTGAGCAGGGGGAGGCACTCTGTTTGCCTCTATGTGATACTTTGATTCATCAACTGTAGCTTATCTATTGTGGTAACAGATAGATTAGTGCAAGCCAAGAGAATATTTGAGCTGGAGAAGTTCTTCTGGTTCCAGAAACGCTGGTTCTTCATACCGTGACATGTGAAGTACAAAGTTATTTTGTGTTTGAAGTCTGAGGTATCTGGGCCCCAGAGACTGATTACAGCCAACACCGTATGATGCCTACTTTGTGGAGGGAGCACTGTGATGATTTAGTTCCTGTCTGGTGCTTAAGGTGATAATTGGTGACTCATGCAGTCAGTTAGCCTGCTAATAAAGAAAGAAGGAAAGTGAATATAGATCAAGAAATCACTGATATATGAATCACCTGTTATTTGCTTCTTTGCTGCAAAAAGAATATAGTTAGTGGAAGTGGTTATAGTTACTAATGTGAGGTCTGACAGAAAAATGTGGTTTGAGGTTAGTGACTCTGTTGGAATATAAGTCATCCACGGGCTTTTTTTGGTAACAGCCAGTCAACACTGACCACAGAACATTACTGAGAAATTCAGGGAAATTTATTTTTAGCCTATTAGCCTTTCCAATGTGTAAAATAGAAAAGTCTGATTTGTATTTATAAAAGATTCCATTGTTCACATTACATCTGTTGTTTTGACTCATAATAGAGTTTCTGTGACTTACCATCTCACTGTCAACATTGCCTTTTTCCTCTGGTTTTCATTTTTAAAATAAGGACTTATTTCAGTTATGAGTCAACATGTTTACCAAGTACTCATTTAGGACCTTTGAAACCTACATTGTTTGGAGCGGAGTTCTGATGAGTTCAGGTGGCCTCCCTGGTGTATAGGGAGTTCATCTCCAAATGAGCTCATCACTAACATCAAGGAACAGATTCTGCTAGCCTTAGGCGAAATGCACGGAGGAGTAACTGGTAAGCTTGCCCATTTAAAACCTGCAGAGCCACTGCATAAGTCTGACTGTGACTGATTCACAGGAAAGAATCAATGAAGAAGGCCATAGAGATACAGTTCATGGTAGCAACATTTTTCAAACTGCTGAAAAATACAAGCAAGCCATGGCCACATGACTTTCTTCATATGATCATTAACTTCGGTACAAGGCAATTTTACATGTTCCAAGAAAAAGGTTCCTTCATATTGCCTGTGAAATTCTGAGATTTTCCTACCTCACCTCATTTCCTTGATGTCCTTTCATTGTAGACCTGAGTCGACTTTAAGATTGCAGGGAAATTTTATCAGAGTCTTAGACTTTGGTCTGGTTGCTTCCAGAGCTCCCAACCCGTCATACCAAATGCCTTGCACACAGTCATCCTCTGTGTGAAGAGGAAAGTATTTATTTCTCAGTTTTTCAGGCAGGAAGGGTGAAGCTAAATGGGAGGCTACTTAATAAAATCCCTTGGGAATCAGTTTTGAAGGGCATAGGAGTCCAGGAAGGCTGGACATTACTTAGGGATAAAATCTTGAAGGCACAGGAGCAGGCCATCCCTATGTGCCTCAAGACAAGCTGGCAGCGTAGAAGACCAGCTTGGCTGAATAGGGACATATTGCTAAAGATCAGGGCATAAAAAGAGAGTTTATGGCCTCTGGAAGGGAGGGCAGGCCACTCATAGTGAATATAAGGATATCGTTAGGTTATATAGGGAGCTTATTAGAAGGTCCAAGGCCCAGTTAGAAATTAATCTGCCTTTGAAAGTACAAGATTATAAGAAAAGCTTTTATAATTACATCAATAACAAAAGAAAGGACAGAGAGCGTCTCCATCTCCTGCTAGATCCAGAAGGTAATATAGTAATGAAAGGTGAGGATAAGGCTGAGGTGCTTAATGCCTTCTTTGCCTCAGTCTTTAGCGAAAGTAACCCCTGTACTCAGGGAAGCCAGTCCCCCAAGCCAAGAGAATGGGACCAGCAGCAAAATGTGCCCCCCACAATTCACAAGGAGCTGGTCAGGGACCTACGGACGTCAACGTCCATGAATCTGTGGGGCCAGATGGGATCCATCCTAGAATCCTGAGAGAGCTGGCAGGGCTGCTTACCAGGCCGCTCTCCTTCATTAGTCAGCAGTCCTGGGTAACTGGAGAGGTCCCAGCTGACTCGAAGACAGCAAATATAACACTCATCAATAAGAAGGGACGGAAGGATGATCCAGGAAATTACAGGCCTGTCAGTTTGACTTCAGTCCCAGGGAAGCTGTTGTAGCAGATTATCCTGAGTTCCATTGTGCAGCACATGCCGGACAACCGGGTGGTCAGATCCATGCGTTTATGAAGGGCAGGTCCTGTTTAACAAACCTGATCTCCTTCTGTGACTGGGTGACCTGCTTGCTGGATGAAGGAAAGGCTGTGGATGTCATTTATCTTAACTTTAGCAAGGCATTCAACACAGTTACCCACAGCATTCTCCTAGAGAAATTAACTGCTCTTGACTTGAACAGACATATGTTTCGCTGGGTGAAAAACTGGTTGGGTGGCCAAGTCCAGAGAGTTGTGGTCAAGGGAGTTAAATCCAGTTGGCGACCAGTCACAAGTGGTGTCCCCCAAGGCTCAGTACTGGGGCCACTCCTGTTTAACATCTTCATCAACGATTTGGACGAGGGGACACAGTGCACCCTCACTAAGTTTGCAGATGACAC